GTTAAGAACAACTTTTGAGTCCACCAAGTTTTCTGTAGCTTAGTGATAGAGCATCGGACCGCGAAATTCAAGGGTCTGAGCCTCGAATCTAGAAAAATAATTTACTTCGTCCTTTAACCCTTTAGTTCACATGGGTGACCAAAACAGAACTTCTCCTTGCAATATCTACACAATAGTAAGCAGATACGTGACGAGAATTGAAAAAAAAGCATGAGAGAATCATTAGTTGATCCAATACCAAAATCTCTGAACTGGCATCCTAAGAATTGTAGGACAGACAGTAAGGGGAATTACTCAGGAGACCTGGGGAGTGAAAGGGTTAATATATAATTTTTGTGTGAACTTTAATTAGATTGAAAAAATTCGGCGACTGATTGGCTTGAGGGAATGGCGTGGCTCCTCAAAATTCATCTTTCTGACCAGCGTTCTCATTCCTTTTACTTGAACGTTCATTCTTTGTAGTACTCCGTCAAGTTAGAAAAGGGAGATTACGTGCTGAAGCTTCAGGTAAGATGACATGAGTCCTGAAATTACATGCGCGTGCGAAAGATCACACAGGTGTTGCTTTCGCGAGCGAGTCTTAGTCGCGTTTTTTCCGAGGTCGTGAGATTCAGACTTCATTGGCTCAGTTTGAATTTGCAGGTTGCTTTTGTTAAGAGGGAGTTGGGAGGGGGGTGTTTATCGAGAGATCTTGGGGAGGGACTGAGGAGAATAATGGGGGAAGATAGATCTCCCCTTAATTTTTGAACCAAAACCAAGGCTTGTGGGGGTGAAACACTGAGTTGCTTCGTTTTGCCCAGGGAGACAAGGCGGACGACAAAGCTGTGCTCCTTTTTTCAGGGTTTCCACTCTCCCCCTCCCCTCCCCTCCCCTTTCATCGTGATCTGAATCTACCATCGATATCCCTCACGGTGAAGGAAAACGAAATAAAAAAAAAAAAAACACTGAATTTCGCTCTCTCTTGCTCTCCTTTGTTTTTTTTTTATTATCCGATGGCAACCTACATGAAAAATATTTAAGAGGATTATTGAGTCATTTTGAGTCGCACAAAATTTCTTACTTTTTTCATTGTTTGTACTCACCGTCGTCAGGTTCGACATGATAACAAGGATCAACTTGAGAAATTGAAAGACACCGTGGTCTTAATAGAACAGAAACTTTCGCCCGCTATCACACTGGACACACATTCGTCACGTCTCGCCGCTATGAAATCCAGCAAGTTCAGTTCGTGCACTCAGAGGCCAGGCTCTTGTTGTCCTGTTTACATAACGCCTCCAGCGGATGATAAGTAAGTAACCACGCATTTTTTGAATTCTACAACTACAACCTCGGTCTCAAGCGCCGGAACATTTTGCTATTCGTGATTTCTGCCTCTCTCCCAACCCCCCGTGCAATGTTGAATGAGTACTTTGCGTTACAGAAGATTGCATTCTAAGTATTTCCAAGGTTGAAAAAGAGAATGCGGTTGTACGCCTTAGGTCCAAATTGGAAGTTTTCACGATTTAGCAAACAAAAATTTGTCCAAGATTGTTGATTGAAAAATAGGGGAGCAAACAGAGATATTAAATTCTTCAATGAGCCATTTCAAATAATCCGAATTTACTTTGGTTTTTCCTAACCTCGTCATATGATTGGCCAAGAAAGCTCGTGCCTTCCTCTCAAACAATTTGTGCTGAAACTAAAACCAATCGCGATTTGATCAATTTAGGTTTTCTTTTTCCTTGAGTTCTCATTGGCTGCACGTGATGTATTCCTTCCATCTGATTGGCTGTTGACATTTCTCTAGCTTCCGATTTGAGGACGCTCAGTTAAGAATCTCTATAGGTTTAAGGCCTCTGAAATGCCTCTTCAGCTATACAGACTCAAGGTAACTTGTCTTGCGTGATTGCCATTACTCGCACTCCGCTTGTTGCCTGATCAAACGCTGATGAAAGGGAAGAAGCCATACTTCAAGCCGCTCAATTCTACGGACACCTGAATAAACTCTGGGCGATGGGAGCCTTCTGGCTTGTTATTAGACTTGACCTTTCTTATCCATGAAAACTTGAAACACAATATCTGGTAGTTTTATCGTTCCAAATGTTGTCGCAGTTCTAGTTGTTTACCAACTTTGGCCTACATGAGATCTTAAAAATTTTGATATTTTTCCTATACGACACAGGATTCCCAAAGTTGCCAAACATGGTCACATTCTTAAGGGGACAATTTCATACGTGAAGAGTGAGACTGGAAAAAAAGCGGTAAGAGAGATTTTTTTTGTGCGTTTTCGCAAGGAAAAAAATAATCCTTGCAGGTGAGCTGTTTTTTAAAGAAATTTGTTGCTCCAATTAAAGAAATTGCAGTTCAATAAAAAGGAAATTCAGATACGTATTCGCGATTTGAATAAACTTGCATATATTATGGTGTTTCACTTGTTATGCTTGCTAGTAAAAGGGTTTCCGCCAGTCGAGCCCGTTTCCGTCGAGTACTCGTTGGATTATCGGAGGATGAATCGACCATTTTTGTCCAATCAGAAAGAAACACGAGCACTCTGAACTCTGTCATTGAACTGATCGTCACATGCTTACGTCGATAAAATCAAAACTGAAATACCACGGATGCATTTTGTAGAAATGTCTTCCTTTTTGGAAAAATGTTTAGGATTTCATCAAAAAAAAAAAAAAAAGGAAGTTACACAAATGAAATAGTTATGAAAGTGAAGCATGAGAAAGTTCCATTAGCTGACGATGGTTGTTCTGTTCGTAATTTTCAAAGTGCCAGTTTTTTGGTTGTCATATTTTTAAACTTCTCAATTTTATTTATTATAGTGCACTTACCCAGTTCAGTACGTTGTTCCGGCCGCACCCAGTAAGCAAAATAGCAAAGCAGCGACCACAAAACCGGAAGAAAAAGAGGTTCGTCTAAGGGTAGACTACGAGTAGTTGTGCCTTTTTGGCGATGTCCGTCTCCCGAGTCCCAAAAATCAGCAAAAAAAATTGATGCCAGCGCGCTGGGTAGAACTCTGGAAGTGAGGCAAGCGAAGAGTAGGGTCCCTAATTTGCGTGCGCCTCTCTCCCAGACTTCCACCGAAAAGGAGGGACTGCTTGTACTCTATTCTAAGGAAGGAAAATGGGAAATAATGGGAAATACTCAAATTCTCAAGAGATTCCCAAGAAGCACAAAATATGACGTAACATTCTCGATTTGTCCTCACCGATCTCCTCTATTTTTATGGCATTCAAGGAAGATGACTTTCTGTGAAGGAAATGCCCCACCCCACTCATGATCATGTCTTACGTTTTCGTTCGATTAGCTAGCTTTTATCAACGTTTTGTACAAATTTTTCAGGTGAAACAACAGTTTGAGGAGGCAATGAGAGACTTTAAAATCTCCTGGATACCAAAGTAAGTCAGCCCTTTTTAATCATTCCTATTTTGTGTGCTTTTGACCTCAATACAGCTCATGTACAGATAACGTCAAGTTCGACTTTTCTTCCTGTACATTTTTATGTTAATGTACCAGCTAGAGTACATAAAGCTGGTTGAGATAACTAGTCTATAATTCGTTGATATTGGTGCTCTGTTTGTATGTCTCCAAACTGTTCTATGCTTTTGGTTTTTTAATATAATTTTGTTTTGTTATTTTTTTCTTTTTCTTTTCAGACTTGGTGATCTAAATTTGTACGACGAGCTTGCGGAGCAGTATTCTGATCATTTACCGTTACATGTAGCAAGACTCCATTTCCTAGATAATTCCAAGGTAATTCTGATATCAGCTGATTTTACATTTTCGTTATAACCTTAGAACTTGCTTTTAACGAATAGAGCAGTGTCTTGGTCATGGAGTCTTTCTTAACTGCGTCCTGATTCAGAAAGGTCCTGTCGTTACCCTGTCGTTCTCTCTGTGGATCTTTGCGTTGTACTGTGTTACCTGAGAGATATCTTTGACTTGTGCTTTCTTAAGCAAAACAGAAGCATGCATGCGACTTGTACCAATAATAGGTACCGTAGAATTTTACCTGCGTCTTTTATCGTTCCCAAAGGATAGACTTCAGAGGCTTCCACAAGTCACAGCTGCAGCGGAAAAAGTCATACAAATGGTGAGAATGCCGAATAAGTTGACGAAGAGTCACACCTGTACAGAAGGATTTCGTACCGATATCATACCTCCATTTTTTCAGTATATAAACACACACGCACAACCCACAATTCCTCTTTTCGCTCAGACGAAGAGCTAGCGCTCGAAACATCCGCTAAAGAAACTTTTTGTGTTGGCCAATTTACATTCTTAACTCAGTTGATACCAAAACAAATTCTCTTGTAATACCCCCCACTGACGCAGCACCACAATTTCTTTACAAACATTCCCCCTTTATAAGTTTCTGACTGTTTAGAGAACGTCTGACCGACTGACTGACTGACTGACTGACTGACTGACTGAATGTTATACTGACTGACTGACTGAATGACTGTCTGTCTGTTTGACTGACCGACAGACTGTCTGACTGACTGACTGTTAGTCTGATTGACTGACTGTCTGTCCGTCTGACTGACAGACAGACTGTCTGACAGACTGACTGACCAACAGACTGTCTGACTGACATACTGACTGACATACTGACTGACATACTGACTGACATACTGACTGACAGACTGACTGACTGACAGACTGACTGACTGACAGACTGACTGACTGACAGTCTGACTAACAGACTGACTGACTGACTGACAGACTGACTGACAGACTGACTGACCGACTGTCTGACTGGCTGAATCATGTAGTTATGATACCGAATGGTGACTCATTCTATTATCCGTGCGAGACTGACACGTTTTTTTCAACTTCTCGCGTTCAGATAGACCTTGTTGAGTTGTCAAGTTATTACGGTATGAAGACCGACCCGCGGCCAGACGCCGCTAACATCAAGAGGTATTGAGTCTGAACCTGTTATATTTGATACCTCCAGCACAATTCAACGTTTTGATTAGAGTGTTTTTTCGATTGACTGTCGTAAAACCAAAAACTAACTCCTCCCCTCCCTCCCATTTAACAAATGGTAAACACCACAGCGTACACTATTGAGTTATGGATGCACTTGGGAGGTTTGCTAAGCACGAGAGAAGCGTAAGAGTCGCTCGAGGCGATAGCCGAGAGCGACTCTAGCTTCTTGAGTCGTTTTGGGGGACGCTAAATTGAAACGCTCTAGCTTCTTGAGTCGTTTTGGGGGACGCTAAATTGACCAATCAGAGCGCGCGCTTTACTTTGGTTATGTTATAATTATAGTTCTGTATAAACTGGAACCAAATTATTCGGCAGATCCTTTGTCCTTACTAATTGCTTGTCACTTTTATGATTCAATAGTGAGAAAGACAGTCAAAAAGCTACATTAGTAGACGCACTGAGTCGTAAGGTAAGTGTTTCTTCCAAGAGAGCGCCTCTTTCGGTCCTTATATCAATTTTATTTTAGGGTCAATGGAAAGCTTATTTCAAACTAGTTTTTGGCTAGGAATGGGTAGTAGATGCATGGGTAATGGCATTGAAGAAGATAGACTATTATGGTTCGCTTGTTTTGTTATTCACTCTGGAGGCGCTGTAGTCAGAAAGCTTTTTTTTTTTTCAACAACCTGAAAGTTTTTTTCTATTTAGGGAATAGCTCTTGCTGACCAGATACTGGGAAAATCCTCAGACACTTCCGACAACAGGGAGCCCCAAGGTAAAACAAAATCAAATCCTTGCCTCTGTTAACCCTCTCCCTCCCAAGATCTCCTTAGTAATTCTCCTTACTGTCTGCCATATAATTCTTATGATGCTAGTTTGGAGAATTTGGCATTGGGTCAATTGATAATCCCTTGATTGACTTTTTTCTTTATTCTTATCACATGTCTGCTTGATTTTGTTGAGAAAAATATCGTTTTGGTCACTCGTGGGATTTTAAGGGTTAATCGTATTTATTTAAGTGAAGTTTGAACTCGACAAAGTCCATGTCACTTTTTCAAAAGGTCTGTCATTTTCGATCGCTAGACGAAGGAGAGGCCAGTAGTTCGGATGAGCAGGCGGAGACAGAGGAAGCAATCTGTAAGTGCAGAATCTTTGTGCAGCCATGTTACTATTATGCTTTCCATCAGGATCTCAAGTCACGTAGTTCTCGGTCATCATCTGATCTTCTACCCAGTTCCAGTAAAAGACGCATTTCCCGGATATCTTGTATTTGGTGTTGCGTGTGGTCAGAATTTCAAGTTACAATCTCTGCTAATCTTGCCGAAGATTGTGCACAACTTAATCCAATTTAAGTCATTGTTTTCAGTAGTTGCTCAACGAATCCTCAGCTAAGGTTCCAGCTTATTATTATGAAAGTGCGCTTACATAGTCGATTTCTTCTGGACAATTTTTTTCCATTATGAACAATTTGCATTTTTCTCCTTTCGTTAGATGGAAAACTTAAGGAGACTTTCAACGAGCTTGTTAAGTGGATCGACGTTTTAGACTCCAAGGTAGGTCCTCGCCAACTACATTTTTGTCTTGATCTAAAGGTCGTTAATAATCTTTGATTGATTGATTAATTAACTTCCTTTTAAAATTGAATCAATCTCACTCCAACTGCTTTTTTTTAAAGCCATCTTTATCAGTTCATTGTAATTCAAGGCCTCTTCACCAAGCACGGTAACTGGGAAAAGTTTTGTCTCAAGAGCTCAAAGTGAAAAAAGCGGGAAATTACCCGAAGCGCGGGAAATCGCGAGTGACAGAGTTGTGATTGGTTTTAGTCTTGGATCTGATTGGTTAAGAAAGTGGCGCGAGTTTTCTCGACCAATCACGCAGCGAAGTAAAATAAAACCAAAACAAATCGCTGGTTACTGTCTACACAATAGCCGAGCAAGCGCGGTGAACTGGGATCGTATAAACAGGATCCTTCTAAGGTAACAAGTGTTCTTGTGGGTCTTATACTTGATACTGACGAGTGATGCGCACTTCGTTATGTTTAGGTTCTTCCGTTTTACATTCGCCGCGCAGAGGCAATGAAGCTATACGGCCTTGCTCTGAAGGCATCGATCAAACAAAATGGCGATGGCACACCAAACAGGGTAAACGATGACAGGAACATCATGGTAAATAATAATCAGCTTTATCTTTCAGTGTCATGGGAAAAAAAAAACACTAGCTTGTCTCCACTAACTCGCAAAGGTTGTTTATTTACTTTTGTGTTTATTGAACGTTTACGCCTAGTATTAAATAGCCCAGTCACAGTGTTATTTTTATTTGTCATATGAAAAGGCAAAAAGTAAAAACTAGCTGGATATAACTCGCATCCAATTGTTCTCTTTTTTTTTAAACCAATTTTTTTTCTTTTTCTGAGTTGCATGAATATTTTGGACGGGTTCTAAGTTTTGGTGGTTTTTGCAGACAGTCCTCGATCAGGAAAATTTTTATAGCAAAGGAAAAAAAAAAGCAAAACAAAAGAACGCCGAAAACAAAGACACTTTCAAAAGCATTGCAATCGCTCGACCTTTAATCTGCTGTCGATTG